TTTATACGATTTATTAGATCCGTTCTAATTAACTTATTTCTATTATCAAATAATATTCTAACTATTATTTATTCTTTCGAATAAATAATTGAATTAGTTCGATTAAGTTTCAATATTATGTTTACCAAACAAGTATCGATTTATAACATAATAATTAACTCGAACAATACATATTCAACTTATGAAAATCTTAAGCTAACCTTTCATCGTTTCAACGAATTGTTTTCATACTTAATTTAAGAAAAAAAAAAAGAAGTTCAACAACTGCTTTAATATGATGATATTTACAGTCGAATATGAATATATCGGTATTTAATTCTATTTAATAAATTAAAATAAGTCGTTTATTATAGAGATCTATTTCTAACTAAATAGACTTAATATTTAAATAGCTTATCTATCAAACATTGATTATTATTCATGATAATTATAATCAGATTTAATATATACTTAAATCTATATATCGAGAACATATATTTAAAAATGAATATAATCATTAGTTGCAAATCCTACTCTTAATTACATCACTTACAAATGATAATAAATCGATTATTCACAGTTATGACTATAAATCATTTAAACGATTTGAATTGAGAACGATTGAATTGTCAATTAATATTTCAAATGATCGTTAATCATATATCGATTATTTACATTTTCATCCATTAATAATAATATTAAGAAAACAAATTTTTTTTTTAATTTTCCTAAACGATCGAAATATATTCGAAAATAAACATTCGAAACGGTTTTTATTTAATAATAGATTTGTAAATCTCTAAATAAAAAATATAATTTAATTTAATTCTATATCGAGCAAATAAAATTGAATTTGTCTCATATTTATCTCAAATGTTTTTTTGAATAAAAATGATCTAAATATATTAAATAAAATCCATTTTTATATTAAAGAATTTTAACAAGTATTTTAAAATAAAGTATGCTTTATATAGAAACATAAAACTTTTTAAGTTTAAATAAAATTAAAAAAAAAAACTCTTGTGAAATCTTAATTTGATAAGTGAGAAACAAATAAATTGAAAAAAAAAGTACATATGATACTTAATCGTTAACTGAGACAAAACAATGTCGATTAAAATGACATATACATATAATGAATATAAATTAAAACGTTGTTATAATAAATGTTTATCTTTAACTAAATAATCTAATTTCGCTAATTTAGCATAATCATGAATAAAACAAAAGAAATAAACAAAAGAAATGAAGCAATAAGATCATTTATAGTTGATGGATAAGCTGTTTTGGTTAATACATATATATTGTCCAAATAAATGAATATAAATCTTGATGTGAACATTTACCTAATTTATTTTTTATATTCAATTTAGGATTTATTTCATTTGATGTTCTTTTATATTAATAATCGCAATAACTTAATTTATATTGATTTCCAAATAATATATCAATAATATTTTTGTATATTTTCCAAGTATAATTGATAATATATTAAATGCATGTTCAACCTGATCAATTTTTGATCGAATTGAATCAAGTAAATTGGTCATATTTTCCTATTTATCTAATTTATCAAAAGAAAAAAAAACAATTCTAAATGATTACCACTTTTTAATAAACGTAATATTTATATTGGATTATTATCATATGTTGTTATATGAGGATATCGTCTACATGATACATATAATGATGCCAGGCATCGGATTGGACCCATAAAATATAGGATTGTGTGATCACGTAATATGTGAATTATCTAGATAGTTCACATATTACGTGATCACACAATCCTATATTTTATGGGTCCAATCCGATGCCTGAATGATGCAGCTAACCAATGTAATTGATCGCCTTCTAACACATAATAATTACGAATATGTTCATATGAACGCCATGCATCTAAGTTTAGTTCCATATCCATATTTAAATCAAGACATAATTTTGAATATAACATTTCAACTGATTCATCATCGTTAATTAATATTTTGCTTTCTTTTTGTTCTAAAATAATAAAAAACAATGATTGGCATTGATTTAAATCAAAAAAACTTACATTAATAAATCAGGTAAATGAAAATCTATTGAAAAATACACTTGAAATTGTTTTTATTTGTAATTCCTTTTTCAATAACATATATGCCTGTGTTTGTTCATTGACATATTATTCTAACGACAATTCAATCATTTTTATATTGGTATACATTTAGATTTGTTTGTTGTCTTTCGTTCGTCTTTTTTTTTTGGCAAATCGATTCAATCGACGAATGAATAAGTATTTGTTTAACTTAGTTCATTGAAGTCATCATCTACAAGAAAAAACACAAAAAAATCATGAATAATGTTCATTCTTTTTTTAAATTCAATTGATAATATTAGTCAGACCAACAAAGATTGGCTTCATAGATA